CTGAGCAGGTCCGGCGCAGCCGGAGAGGAGAGGCTCAGACAGCGGCGGTCCTGCCGGTGGTGGAGGAGGTGGTGGCGACGTGGTGCGGGGGGCGATGGTGTCGGGGCTGGGACGCCCAGCAGGAGGGGGGGAGCGGCCTGGGCATCCACCCTCTGAGGGGGGGGGACGGGTCTGGTGGAGCGCAGGCGGCCGGTGAGGGGGGGGAGCCCTCGGAGAAGCCACCCCCTCCACAGGCGCCGCCGTCTCCACAGGGGTGGAGGAGTCGTCGCGGAGCATGTCCGTCGAGGCCGTCCCAGTGGCAGGGGACAACCTGCGAGAGCGCGGGGAGGAGGCAGGGTAGACCACCATGCCCACACTGGAGATGTCACTCCCCTCGGAGGAGGAGACCGGCGCGAGAGCGGAGTCAGCCAGCAGAGGAAGGAGGGAGGCCTTACGGCCCTGGCCCCCCCGGTCGGCGGGGGGGGGCGAGGGGGAAGGGGAGCGGGAGTCCTCAGACGCCCCCTCCTCATCCGAGCGGCGGGAGCGGTGTCGCCCGTGGTAGTCCTCACCAGCCCCCGGGTTGCCACCGGGGAGGCCAGCGTCGAAGGAGCGGGGGCGCCCGATGTGGTTGGGGGCTCGGGGGCGATCCTGAGGTCAAAGCCCTGGTCGTTGAAGAAGACACGGACAGAGGCGCGAAGCTTGGAGGAGTCGAGGCACTTAACCTTGACCCGAACCTCCTCCTCCTTGCGGAGTGAGAGCTCGTCCACGGGCACCACCTTGCCCAGGAGACGGGACATCTGGCGGATGACGAGCTCAGACCGCGCAACATCAGGCAGGCCGGAGATGAGGATCCAGGCGGTGTCGAGGACGGCCACAGCCTGAGCGTCGAGAATGGGCTCGGAGATCTCGACCACCAACTGGTTGAGGGCGAGGGTGATCCGGCCACTACGCGTCGCGTAGCCGTAGCTGACAGCGTCGGGTAAGACGACAGAGAAGATGTGGCTGGCGGTAGGAGTGACCACCCAGTCCCACTGGTGTCGGTAGAGGTGGTTGAGCTCTGCCTCGATCATCTCCGGGGATGCCACGCCATCAACGACAGTGACAATCGCCTGGAGGGAGGGAGACGGCGGAGGAGCATCCAGGACCTCGAGGTGGAAGAAGCCCAGCCCCTCAATCCCGTGTCCATACATCATGAGCTCGGAAACCACCGGTCTATCCGGGCACAGGATGGCAGGGTGGCCGGGGTCCTTGCAGAGGTAGCAGCACTGGGGGTTGGCGCAGGTGACCTGAGAGTGACCCCTCACCCCACAGTTGAAGCAGGGGGGGCGAGGAAGGCCGGAGATGGGGCCCGGCGTGTGAGTGGAGCCATGGCCCGCACCTGAAATTTTACACGCAGTTAGAAAAGTTCATCACAAAAAAATTCAGTTTTTTTTTGAATATTTTTTGAATATTACTGTTCATGCGGGAGCATGTGAGCTCGGGATCAAATATTTCATGTCCTAAAATCAACATGCATCGTAACAAACCCATAAACAGACCCATCAACGACACTTATTTTGGAAAGAAGGAAGTATTAAGATGCCGGGAATAGGTTTCTTCTTCTTTTTGTCACCTCCGTGCGATTGGTTTGTAACGCACTCTTCAATCTTCATAATTAATGAATGTGATAAATCTTTTATCAATTTTTTTCAAAACAAACGAAAAACACTGCCGTTGAGCTGAAGCTTGTAAAGGGGTGATGTACGTAGTAGTGATACTTATAGGGTTTAGATAAGGTCTACGACGACCTTTAATTTGAGTGTCTCGTGAGCAGGTGAAACTATTGTTCCAAATATATGGCCGCCGCTTCTTTGTATCTTTTCTTCTTTTTGAGTTGGGCCGCTTCTGGTGTCTGATAGGCTGACAGTACAGCACGCGCGCTCATACTGTTCAAACTTTAAGCAGAATGCCATCTGATGCGACATCTCCAATCCACTCTCAAGATTCAAAACACTATCCGCACGAATGGATATGGTAGGGTAGGCGAATGCAATCCTAACACAATGCGTTTGCCTAGCTACATGTCATCTTCTGAGAGGAGCAGAGAAGCGCGGCTAGTAAATCCATGGTGAGATGAGCAAATGCGCGCGCATGAACACCAAATCGATCAACACCATCAGCCAAGAGACAAGCAGTGTAGTGCAGCGAATGCTCCTTCAGTGGACTTTTCCGGTTCCATTATGATTGATTGGTAAATAAGCACAACTTCACCAAAAGAACAAAATGAACACTACTGGTAAGTACTTACTACTCACTTACTATAACTGCGTACGTATATATCCTAGTGATTAGGCTAGTAATAACATTTGGTCAGGGGGCAAAATTTGCGCGCACACATCTGCACGCCGGATACATACATACTAACATACACACACTGAAGAAGTAGAAGGTGGATCAGCAGATGGTCGCTGCTGCCGGAGCATAGAGGTAAAGAGGGTTGAGAGCTTCTTGTAGCTAGCTAGCTGGATCAGTTGTGCTTGGGCGTGCGCCGCTTGACGCGGGTGTAGTCCATGGTCATGTAGGACCTCATCTGCATCCTCTCCTCCGCCCACTGCTCCCCGTGCGTCCTTCTGTCGTGCAGCCTGATAGCACCTTCACCATCCACAAGAACGAAACAAGTTTCAGAACTCACTCATCATCAAACAAATCACAAGCATCAACACTTCATAATCCAGCAAAAGAAAGTATGACAGATGACTTACCAACTCCTACCGCCTGGTGAACCGATGAACCGACGAGCAACATCAACACCAGAGCAACAAGCCTCACAATCCCAACTAGTAACCTCATGTCTTCTCCACGCCCGTTGCGCTCTGCTCCTCTCAACCGATTCTCACCTTAACCAGCTAACCTGATGCACCTGAGAGTGTATGTATGTATGGTTAGCGTGTGTATATATAGCCGGTCAAGGGCATTGGAGCAAAGACATCGACAGCTCGCGAGTCAAAGGACAGGAGATTTACACGGCTCTGAAAATTTTAATACCTCCGTTCTGTCCCCCTCCTCCTCCTTGCCTTGGTCCTCGCATGGCATCCCACGGGAAGAATCTATAGTTCCTGGAGCTCCCCGGCCTTGTTTAACCTCCCCCCTGCCTTTCTTTCTGGGGCCGTGAGCTGATGATCGGCTAGTTTAATGGCGCCTCACGTGAGCTCCACTCGGCCGCGCCACATGGGATTTGTTTAACCAGCTCGGTCACGCGAGTACCGAAGCCGCGATTAACTAGTGTTCAGTAGTACTAACTACATGGAGTAGTGCCGTAGTGGAGTGGGGTGTGTGGTTTTGAATGAAACCATGAAAGGTGTTGCTGAGCATGGGTTTTGCATAGTTAGCACTGTGTTTGAACTTTGAAGTACTCCCTTCGTCCCAAAATTCTTGTCTTAGATTTGTCTAAATACGGATGTATCAAGTCACGTTTTAGTATTAGATTCATCCGTATCTAGACAAATCTAAGACAAGAATTTCGGGACGGAGGGAGTAGTAGCTTAATTCTTCAGTAGCCTCATGGCCTCCGGGTCTAGCTAGCTAGGTGGCCTGGATATCATCTGCTCAAGATTCCCATGCTGATTTGCCAAGCCTCACTGGGATTTGAAATTGTATCTGCTGTGCATGCCATTGGTTGATTGCCGTGCTAACACTAGCTTAGCCTCATGGGATTGGGGTGTTGCCGCTTTAAGTACCCTGATAGTTCGTGAAAGTGGCCACCTAGAGCTAGCTAGCTAGATTGACAGTGATGGTTAGGATGGATGGATCATGCCTTGATCGAGGGCAAACATTTTTGGGGATTTGGTTTCCTTTGCCTTTCTTTACCTTGTCGTCAACATCGGCATGCCACTCATGAACGCCGCATCATTGGGTAGCTACTCTTTGTAGATTCATACGGAGTATACTGTAGCTGGATTAGCCGTGCTCGCCTTGTCTTTAGCTGAAACAGGGGTAGAGTTGTTGCTGCCTATGGACACTTTGGTGCCCTGATGCTTTGCAAAAGTGAAACGGGTTCGTGATGGGGATTGGCCGGGTGGATATGGCATGATATTGTCGATGCTATTTGCTGCATCAAAATCTTGACATCATCTACTCCCTTCGTCCCATAATGTAAGACGTTTTTTGACTCTAGTGTAGTGTCAAAAAACGTCTTACATTATGGAACGGAGGAGTAGTAATTATCATAGCATGCCCAACATGGGCTGCATGTACATTATTGCCCTGTTTAAGTGTTTATAGAACATTCTAGATTTCCAGGGTATAACAGTTACTACTAGTAAAGTTTTGAAATAAAAAACTTGTGATAAAATCATGACATTTAGGCCCCGTTCGGCGTCACTCCGCTCCACGGCTAGTGACGGCAGAAGATTTCGAGCTACTGACTATTCCAATACTACCTCCATACCAAAATGTTTAAAAACTGCAAAAAAAACATCTTATATTTTGGTACAGAGGTAGTAGATGGTAGTTTGGGACATTATTAATAATAATATTGTGAATATAGCACGACAGTGGCTTGAATGTCTTATTGACTTGGTTGGAGGTCGAAATGCAGAAAAATGATATTAGCAGAATAACTCTGACCGGGGTCTGTGTATTAGTTCTAAAAATGCATTTCCAGAAGATTCAAATTTCAAAAAAGGATGAAAGAAGGGAATACCTCAAACAATATATTTACCTGGCAAAAGAACTAATCAGTTACGCCTAGTCTTATTTTGAGCTCAGTGAACTCTGTCACAATGTGCCATGCAAAAGAATTCAATTGCATGGAATAATCTGTTACATTGTTTGGACTAATATACATTCAAAGTTTTGGTTCAGCGCCAAAATTCCGGATTTTGTTGCAACGCTCTGCTGAAGTACAATCTGAAGGGAAACTAACCTGTCCCAACAGGCTTGTACTTCATGGAGCCCATCTCAAGGGAAACTAACCTGTCCCACAGGCTTGAACTTCGTAGAGCTCATCTGAAAGGACACAAAACTCTCTAACAGCTTGCACTTCATGGAGCCCTATCAAACGGGCGTGTGTCGTTGTAGCATATATTCCACACAGCCTCAATTGCATCTTTTGCAGCTGTCTCTGAACAGTAAGGGTTGTTCTTGACAGATTCCAGCGAACGTCTTTTAACACATTCCTTCAGAAATGCAGAAAAGGTCACAGCAGGCATAAAGAATTCAATTGGAAAATTTGAAATAAAAATAGGAAAAGTATGCTCATTAGCTAAAGTCGAGAACCACATGGAAACTGTAAAAAATACCAATAGTTAATACCAATAATGGTTATCTATATTTAATTATTCAAAGTCTGTAACTTTGCTAATAGAAGTTCAATTGAACTGAATAGGCTGTACACAAAGATGATGGATGTATGGAACTTGGAAGCTGCAGAGACACTAGAGAAGACAGGATTCGCATACAAAAGAGAGAATCAATGTCATATGTGGTATGAGCTCAATAACAAAAAAGAAGCAAAAGGCAGTTTTGCTTTCTGTAAAAAAAACTTACTGGCTCATGCCCCCTTATCTTCAGGAAGCCTTTCATCAGTTCACGTTTGTAATGGCAATTGCCACTAAGATGATTAGCTCGAATCTAAGAATGAACAACACAGTGTAAGCCAATTAATTACCAACAGCTCACAACAAAACATAAGTTTATGTGGCACAGTAACATGCCAATAAATTCCATTGATATGACAAGTACTTTGATACCTCAGAGCAAGCATGGTGAGCGCAGTTCGTCCAGTCCATGTTCTTGCCAACACAGTCATCATAAGCATGTATTAACTCATGAGTTATGGTCTGAGTTATCTGATCAGGATATTCCATGTGATTACAGCAAACTTCTATCTGGACATAAATAACTGGAAATTATTATAGCAGTTCTCTCGTCAGTAGTTCACTTGAAATAGAATCCACAAGAAAAGATGTAAGGCCAATCGAAGAATTTTGAGGAAAATAATATACTCCCTCCGATCCATATTAATTGTTGCTGATTTAGTACGACAACTAATCTGGATCGGAGTAATATACTATGAAGGGCCAACAAAGAAAAAAAATACCATTGAGGGAAAACAACAAGACTGCTATAATGGTTAGCCGACAACTTGGTCCATACAATCTTAGTTAAGGGATCCATACAATACATAATGGGAAAAAATACCGCGCGAATATTTGTTGTGGCTTATAGCGTGGCGCACGGCGGAGAAGGAAAAGGAAGGCATGGTGAAGAAGGACGAAGAAGCGATGGGGGAGGGGCTGCCCAGCGTTAAGCTCAATGGCAACGAGGTTGCTGATATCGGGGCACGGTGGCTCCCCCGACTTGCACCGCTGGAGGCGGCGGGGACAGACAGCAGACAGCAGTGCGGCTGGCATTGCAAAAATGGAGGAGAGAGAAGTGGGAGAAGGCAAGGGGGAAGGGAAGAGTAGCACATGCTAAGCTTCATGCACTAGCCAACACAACCAAAATTCCGAACTGAGGAAAGGGCTAGGCAATCCACATATACACTTCAACAGCACTGTCCTGCACGAGGCCGGAAACGGACCAAGAGGGCATGAGGCATGAAGACTAAGGGAGACGTGTTTAAGGTGATAGCATGACCATCGCACTAAAGCCAGGTTCTTACATAAAATTGTTATAAGCTGCCAATATAACTGAAGTTTCATTGATCCAATACGCTACAACATACACATAAAACATGCAATTTTAAGTAGGCAAAGAACTTATAGCAAATAAATCTAGAAACATAGCATCCGGTCAACCTGTACTGATAACATGAATACAGGAACCAGTTCGGTCTACCTTTGTCGAAATGTTGCTGGCAGAGATGCAAACGTAAACTTTAAATAAAATTTAAAGACAAAACTCCAACCAACTACATAAAGCAGATCAACCTATCTTTTACCTATAGTACTAAGAGCATCTCCAACAGATGGTGTATAATAGGGCACTCAAAAGCCTCTGAGTGTCCTGAGCATTGGGTGCTCTCAAATACTCCAGACGAACACTTCAACCACCGCCTTTGCAAATTTCTTGACACACAAGATTGAAGTGCTCTCTCCTATTACCAAGTGATCATCAGTGAAATCTGCCAGAACACCAGATGTCATCATGCATAATGATGTAGTCACCTTCTGGATAGTGCTGTGTCCAAGATCTCCGCCGCAATTCCTCCTCTGCTCAAAGAACCGATCATGCTGTTTCACACAGTTGGCAATCTGAAGGAACAAATCTGGAGACATCCTAAACCAGCGTCGAAATTATCTATGGATACACCAGATTTGGACCAAAATAGTTGAGCATCAGTCTATTGTGCCCATCTTGCCTCAACCTACGAATCACCTCACGGCCGACAATGGAATTACCATGCTTCGGCCTCTTGTTCTTATGCATGTACATCATCCTGATCAAAGCAATGGCCTCGTCTTCATTCATCTCATATTCTACGGAGGAGGAACATCCCAAGGAGAGGACTCGAACGAACTCATTACAACACAATACTTTCCATTACAGCCTGCTCCTGTATCACGACAAAAAAAAACATTTTTTTTTACCTTTGAGGCTTTTGGTTGAACACCTAGTGCGCAAGGAGGAGAAATCCAGCCGGCTGCTCGTCAAGGCCGAGGTGGTCGCCGCGCCGGCTAGGAATGGCCAAGGGTTGGTCTTCTCAAGCCTCCGTTGCTGCCGCGCCGTCCGAAAGCCAAAAGATCCAGGCGGTCAAGTGGTGGTCGAGGCGGCCGCTAATCAACCTCAACGGTGAGCAGTGATGCTGCAGTGACCATTAAGGGCAGCAAAGGGGTGTCAAATGGCCAGAATCAGCGCAATCCAAGGCGGCGGCGGATCCCGAATCGACGACAGTGGCAGGGCTGTTGCGGCCGTCCGGAACGGCGGGATTGGGCGGCGGAGTTATGGCTGAGCCCAGGGAGGACGGCGGGCTCGCGGCTGCGTGGCTGCGGCGTGGAATGGCGAGATCCCGCCAGCGGCGGTCGTGTGGGAGAGGTGGGTGCAGCGGCGGGAACTTTAAGAGTGACAGTTGGTCTGCACGCGGCTGTTGACGTACTTTGCGGCAGCCGGCTGGAGTGCTGCAAATATGCAGCACTTGGTGCCAAAATATGGAGCTGCCCAAAAAAATTGCAGCAGCATTTGCAGATACATCATCTGCTGCAGCACTGTTTTTGGGTCCAAATGGCCTAAAAAGGAGTTTTTTGGGCACTTGCCCTATTGTACATCATCTGTTGGAGATACTAACACTTGAGAAAAATTCACAGTTTTGGTTGTTCTTCTAAGTGAATGCTCTCAAGATTCAGTCAAGACAATTATCTCCTCAATTAAACCTTGACAACGAAACAATGTCCTAGTTAATCTTTTGCTAAAACATGTATCCAAACAACAAAACGCTGTAATTTACAAAATCAGAGACCATAGTACGCTCAGTTTGCACGAATTGTTATGACTTATGAACAACCGCAGACATTTTCTATCTCCAAAGATAGCAGCAATGCAAATTATTAGATTGCCAACATGAACCCTTGTAAGTGAGTGCCAACCATAAAGCAACGATAGTAAGGGGGGGAGGGAATGAAAGAACAGCATACCCCCTCGCGGCTTGCGTAGCCCCCGGCAGAGGCGCAGGTGGCCGCCCGGATCAGCATCGGCCACACGGTGCACCCGGCTTTCTCCATCCGCTCCCTCAGGAACCGCACCGTCGGATCTACCCACCAGAATCGACAAGGCGAGTCAGGGGATGGAGTTCACAGACACGCCGAGAGGAAGAAAGAAGCGGCGGTGGGTGAGTGGAGGCGTAAGCAAGCGCGTACCTTTGAGAGCCGAGCGGACGCCGGCGACGCACTCCTCGTGCGGCATGATATGCCGGGGTACGGGCGGGTCAGAGGCGGAAGGTGCCTCCGCCCCGGTGGTCTTCTGCGGGACGCTGCCGCCGTCACCCGCGGCGGCCGCCATTGTTTTCTACCTCTGCCGGCGGCTGCGTCGTGGGCTCCGGAGGCCGAGAAGACAGAGGGGGTTTAGGTCTTCAGAAAGTTCGGATCTCTAGCGACTTTGTTTTTTTTTTTTAGGCAAAGATCTCTAGCGACTGAACCCTTCGGGACGTGCAAAACTGGATGGGCCGGAAGGTAACTGGGCTAAGCAAGAAAGCTAATGCTGGGCTACGCGATGTAGGGAGGCGTTGGCCCCCTCGTTGCTAGCGATTTATCTGATCCTCAAAAAAAAAAATGATCCTCAAAAGATCTCAAAAAAAAAACTGATCCTAAAAAAATGGCTAGCGATTTATCTCTCCATCACTAAAAAAATGAGCATTGTCTCAGAAAGAAAACTGAAAAAATGAGCGGCTATTTGTAGGTCAACTGATTTTTCAGGTGCAAGTCAATTTTTTTGGCCGTGGACTGCTAGCATACTTTGCTTTGAGCTCGTTTGTCATAGGTTGTGTACATTTAGTTTCACATTTAGAGAACCTATTTTATCTGTATTGACCTGAAATTTGAAAGTTAAGCTTAACTTTTGTAATTTCCTATTCACCCCCTCATTTTAGTCAAACATCTCGATCCTTTCAGATGCTCTGCGTCATTGTGGCAGTTCGAGACAAAGCTCATGATGCGTGCCGACATTTAGACATGTATCCAAAGGGTCTTGTTGTTATTTTCTATTTTGTTCGTGGCCTATGTCGTAAAGTGAATTGTATTTTGTTCAACCTTCTTTTTCGAATGTTACTTGCCAAATCCATTGATTAGAAAGGAGTATTACAAGTAACAACCTGGTACGAGGAACGCATTGCATAATGCAAGTGCCAAAAAAAGAAGAAAAGAAAGGTTAATCAGTTTATTGAGGAATGCCGAGTGAAAACTTAAACATTGCCTAGCTCGACTAGGCCAAAAACAGCACAATACATATAACGGGCCAAAAGGCCAACAACCCACTACACATCCATGTCAGGCACCGAGCGCCTTCGCTGCTGCCAGAGTGCACACCAAAAAATATTGTGTCAATCTAGGCTGCCAAGCATATCCATGAAACCCAATGACATCCAAGAAGAAAGCTATGTCCAATGGAGCAAACATACGTCACTCTGATCCCACGAGGTTGCCACATAACCCACCTGGGGCTGCTTGCATGTGAAGGGTACTCCGGCTGCCTCCACGGAGATGTCACGCTAGTCATAACCGACCACCTCCACGAGTCGTGCGTCCAACTCCAAGACGATGCCCAGAAACACAATGCCATGTCAAAGCCAATGGCGACAACATCATCTGACCTAAGAGGCCGGGTCTGTTTAGCAAAATAAGTCACTTTTTTCACTTTTTGACTTATAAGTTGGTGACTTATTTGGAACCAAACAGGCCCCTAGAGCCATCCAACCTTCCACCTTCATGACGCGGAAGCACCACGTCACTCTCACCCTTGCTCAGGCCCGATCGCTGACGCACTACACTGACGCGTCCTCTTCTCACCAGATCTGAGCAACCCAAGGCGTTGCCCGGACATCTAGGCACCAAATCCGGGCTGCCTGAACACCCAAAGCGCCAACACAACGCCTCCCTGCGCAGCCATGCCGCACCATCACGCGCCCTCGCATGCCCACACAGCGCACGAGCCAACCGACGCCACATTGTCGGCATCCCTGTAGTTCTAAATGCACTTCCAAAGGACTGAAATTTCAAAAAGGAAGAAAAAAGGGAAGCAATATTTAGCTGGTATAAAGAATTAATCATTCACACCCACTCTTATTTAGAGCTCAGAGAACTTTCACTATATGCCATGTAAAACAATTGGATTACATGGAATAATCTGTTAGATTGTCTGGACTAATATCATGACATTCAAAGTTTTGCCCCAGCACCAAATTTCCAGATTTTGTTGCAACGCTTTGCTGAAGTACTTACATGGAGCCCGTCTGAAGGGAAACTAGACTGTCCCACAGGATACACTTGATAGAACCCGTCTGAGAGTTAACAAAACTGCCCTACCAGCTTTCACTTCATAGAGCCTTATCAAACGGGCGTGGGTCGTTGTAGCACATATCCCACACCTTCTCAACTGCAGCTTCTGCATCTTTTTCTGAACAGTGCGGGTTCACCTTGACAGAAAGCAGCGCACGTCTTTTGACACATTCCTTCAGAAATGCAGAAAAAACGTCACAGCAGACATAAATATCCGATAGGCAAAATAAAAACGAAAATAGGAAAATCACGCTCATTAGATAACAAGTCAAGAACCACAGGGAAACTGTAAACAATTTCAATAGTTACCAATATTGATTCACTATATTTAACTATTCAAAGTTTGTAACTTGCTAACAGAGAACCAATGCCATATGTGGTATGAGCTCAATAACAGGACAACAAAAAGGCTCCCACAGGGAAACTGTAAACAATTTCAATAGTTACCAATAGTGATTCACTAATATTTAACTATTCAAAGTTTGTAACTTGCTAACAGAGAACCAATGCCATATGTGGTATGAGCTCAATAACAGGACAACAAAAAGGCTGTTTTGCTTTTGTTAAAAAAAATACTTACTGGCTCATGCCCCTTTATCTTCAGGAAGCCTTTCATCAGTTCACGTTTGTAATGGCAATCGCCACTAAGATGATTAGCTCGAATCTAAGAATAAATAACACAATGTAAGCCAATTAATAACTCACAACAGAACATAAGTTTCAGTGGCACAGTAACATGCCAATAACTTCCATTTATATGACAAGTATTTCACTACCTCAGAGCAAGCGTGGTCAGCGCAGTTTTTCCAGTCGATGTTCTTGACAACACAGTCATCATAAGCATGTACTAACTCATGAATTATGACCTGAGTTATCTCATCTTGCCTTCGCATGTGATTACAGCAAACTACTACCTGAACATAAATAACTGGAAAATATTAGAGCAGCTCTCTCATCAATAGTTCACTTAAAATAGAATCCACAAGGAAAAAGGCCAATCAAAGAATTTTGAGAAACTAATATAAGGTCAGGCAATTGCACTGGCTTATACTAGTTGCTAAAGAGCATCTCCAACAGCAGCCCTATAATAGGGCAGAAAAAAAGTGGTTGGAATAAAATTTGGGGCACCAAAAAGTTGTTTTTAGAGAACCAGAAAATGTTCATCTCCAACAGCTGCCCTCAAATTGGTGCCCTAAAATACATCACATCTGTCTTTTTGTGGGTGTCCTATTTTAGGGCAGCTGTTGGAGCAGCTTTTTTGGCACGCAGTGATGTAAAACAGCCGTTTTTTTATGGTCCTGCATGGCCCCCCACTGCGCTAAAATTTTGTGGCAGCCGCACGGCTGCTGTATATTTGCAGCACTTGGTGTTGTATTTTAGGGCTGCCCAAAATTTTTTGGAGAAAAATTTACAAATAGGGCAGTAGCAAATCCTGTCAACATGTACCGATAACAAGAAAACAGGAACCAGCTTGGCCTACCCTTGCCGTAAATGTTGCTGACTGAGGTACAAATGTGAATTTTACATGCATTTCAAAGAAAAATTCCATTCACATACATAAAACAGATGAACCTATCTTTTGAACACTTCAGTTCAAATATTTAACACCCAGGTAAAATTCACAACTTTGGTTGTCCTACCAAGTGAATGCTTTCAAGATTCATACAAGACAATTATCTCCTCACCCATATCTTGACAACCCAATATTACCCTAGTTAATCTTTTGCTAAAACATGTCCCCAAACAACAAAAGCACTATAATTTACAGAAGTACAGACCATAGTACACTCTGGTTTGCATGGAATTGTTATGATTTGTGACAACCGCAGACACTTCATGGCTCCAAACATAGCGGCGGCGCAAATTATTAGATTGCGATTAACCAAAAGAAAGAAGAGCAGACTACCACTTGCCCATAATCGCTCTCGCGACACCTGTCGCCTCCTCACCACCTACCCCTGTCCACCCCGCCTAGCTCACCGGGCTTCTCCCCGCTCCAATGAAATCCACCATATGTCCTCTCGGGCATTCTCTCCCCTACCTCGACATGCCCCCTCGCCTCACTGAGTCGGTCTCGGGGTTGCGCTTGGTGTGTCTCCTGAGAGATCTGGTGATTTGAACCTGGGCTCACCAAGTGATCCCCAGGGAGAATCTATGGATCCGCATGGGAGGGGGAGGCAACTGAAGGGTCAGGAGCTCTTAGCGCTGATGGACGCGGTAGCTTGCGCAGATCGAGCGGCGAAGGTCAAGCTCAAGCTGGCTTCGCGGATTCTGGACAGGACTACAGTGGAGTGAAGTCGCTTGTTCCAACAGGGCAAAGCACTGACACCGGAGCAGCTTCTGGCATGGGCTACGGAAGAGGCCATGTTGACATTCAGAGTTCAGCAAGCACGAGGGAGGTTGTTCAGGTTAGATTATGCGTCTTGGATTTGCTGCCGTGTTCTCTCATCTACCTCGGCATACCCTAACACCTCGTTCAAGAGTGGGTCTCGGGGTTGTGCTTGGTGTGTCTCCTGATTCAAATCCTAGGCTCCCTAAGTGGTCCCAAGGGAGAATCTATGGATCCGCATGGGAGGGGGAGGCAACTGACGGGTCAGGAGCTCTTAGCGCTGATGGACGCGGTAGCTCACGCAGATCGAGCATTGGAGAAGATCAGGCTCAAGCTGGCTTTGCGGATTCTGGACAAGATTACAGTGGAGTGAAGTCGCTTGTTCCAACAAGGCAAAGCACTGACAGCGAAGCAGATTCTAGCGCGGGCTGCGGAATAGGCCACCTCGACATTCAAAGTTCAGCAAGCACGATGGAGGCTGTTCAGATTAGATTAGGCGTCGTGGATTTGCCGGCGGGGACGATGGAGGGTGCATTTGGGTTCTAAGTCAATTCCTACAGAGGATAGTGCTGCAATCTGCGATTTGTCGAGAACATCTTCAGGTGCTCGACATATTGCTGGTCATGTGGTTGTGTTGGGATCATGTTTGCGGATTCGCCATTGTTGGTCCTTGATGACTC